GCTGATCTGCTGTGTGATTAAAGCAACTTTTAGCAGCTGAAATGATTTTCACAACAACAAGCCTTTTCGAAGTAATACTTTATTGGAAACAAGTCAAAAATCATTCATACGGGCAGGCGTTACAGAAGATATCTCCTTGTTTGCTTCGTCAAGAGAAAAAATTCCAGCGGAGGTTATGAAGTATCAAGAATTATAGCAAGTCATTAAGGAGGCATGAAGTGTAGCAAATGGAAATTGCCCCGATGGCAACGTATTAGAGCGACGTTATAAAGTACGTATAAGCAACTGGAGGTTCATTTAGGCTATTCTGAAGATGTGAATTCCGTATTCACCAAACTGCGCAAAAGATCCTTTCTTCAACCTCATGAGGTTAAAATTTTTCGAGTGAGATTATTCGCCTGCGCTTTTTTTGACTACTTAGTATCGAAAACTGCTGCATCGGCTCAGTGATTTTCTTCGGTCTGCAATGAAATTATATTCATGTACTCTAAGTCGAGTTATCGCGCTTATTTTTCATATCACAAAGATCGACCTAGAAGAAATCGATGACCGGGTAGCGCCATTAAGAGTCTGTGCAGCTCGTCGACTTGGTAACTCGTTGCTGATGGATGAGAGCCATCCGTTGTAAATGAAGTAAAAAATTTAATAATCTTGCGTTCATTACAAGAAGGGAAGTCAACGCCAAAGCCAGAGTGCATTGAAGCCCACTGCAGGTCAAATGCTACCTCTCCTTTCTCTGACGCTAAGAAACCGGGAGGAACAGATAAGCTGTAAAACGCTTTCAGCCTCTACTTCACAGGCGTTGAGTTCCATTACGTATTATATTTTAGCTGACGCTGATAGCAAATGTTTTTGACTAAACGAATGAACTCCTTCTTCTCTCAGTGATGTGGTATGTCTAACCTAGGTAATATATTTGGCTTTTGTCAACCTCTTTTCGACACCAATTTGATGTCGCATGCTCATTTTGATGTTAGCAAGCACGGATTATACACAGATTATCACCTGTCACCCTTGGCATGAGTCAGGAAAAACGACATGGAAAGCAGATAACACATACCTCTTGCGATATGGATCATCTAAAGATTTTTGACAGTGGAAAGAATGTTGTGATCGATCGCTTGCGCAGAGACACCTTTCCACAGACTGCCGACCAGGCGCAGAGCGAACTCGATTTCCTTACAGTAAGCCGACAGCACGACAAATGAGCACAAACGAAATGAGTGAGTGAAAATCGAT